GCAGGAATATTAAACTGCTGTGAACCAATATACTGTTACACATCCATTTTCTTTCTCAATTGTTTACTTTCAACTAAACCATAAGCAACTGTGTTTACAAGAATACTTGCAGAGACATGCATTTTGACATAATTTCGCGTGTATGTGTCATTTGAGGCACAAATAGACGCGGACGTGAGCGGACTTCGGTGTTCACGTGCATCTGCGTGGCTCTCACCGTGTCTACACCGGACGCGAGCGGCACAGCGCGACGCGACAAAATATTATCGAGCCAATTATAATCAGTGATGCTGTTTACACTGGATGCGGCGCGACACGACAAATCCCGACAGTAAACTGATGCCTCGTTCTATTTATGACGTACTGACACAAAGTTCAAGTGATTTGCAAAAGTCGCTTTGTTGCGTCCAGTGTAGAAAGACTTTGGGGCCGTTCATATGTCGCACCTAAAAACGCGTGGAAAAGCCAGCCGCGCTGCTTTCTCCTTCTTTCCAAAGCGTTCGGGAGCTTGCAATTTCGTGGCATCTGCCGTTGCTAAGCAACCGTGACCTACGCTCTCCGCGACGACCCAGAAGTTTCAACAAAGGATAAATGGATTTCCAGCACTGAAAATCGCTTGCAGTAGCTCTGCTACTAAATTCATTTAAAAATGGGTATCTCTGTACAGCTGTTCCTGTACCGGTGTCTGTGTGAGCAAAGAAAACGATCAGTGTAAATATAACGATCAGTATACTAAACATTGCACATCCTGCGATGTGACTATCGCAGATGCGCACATTGCGATATCGATGCTGAAACGATATATCGTGCAGCCCTAGCTCATTGCGATATATTTTGACCCCTTGAGGTGGGTTAGCAGCATTTTCTGAAGGTTAAGTGTCCATTTGCTGAAAATGAAAAATAGGCTTTTATTGGACATTTCCGGCCCTTTTTTGTGCCCTATTCATCTGGTGCTAGTAGATTTTTTTTTTTTATAAAATACCTGTCGCTCTCTTCTTACTTTCAAATGATTTTGTTGTAGGAAACCTGAGGATTTGTCCAGGGAGGTCATACAGATTCAACAGCGAGAACTGAACCTGAAACAGCAGAACTACACACTCAATAGCAGGTAAATACACACATTCACATGCATTAAGATATAGATCACTGACTTTGGGTCATACATTTTGACTCATCACTTGTTGATTTAAGAAAGTTGTGTGGAGGTAAATTTGAGGTAACACTTTAGACATTCTACTAACGGTAAGTAACTTTGCAACTACATGTCAGCTAGCAGTCATTAGATTATGGTACCGTGTTGCCTCCAGGCATTTTTTTTTTAATGAAATGAGACACTCATTTAATTGATCAATGCTGTCTCAGGGAAGTAGAAGTCAAATACTAATAAATGAACATAAAAAAAAGTGGTCACATGACCCACAGGGGTCCATTTTGTTTCCTCTTTCAGGACATGTGCACATGTCACATGACTCCATATTTTGTCCAATGAAAAGTGCATTTTTCATCAATTTCCGTACACATAATTTCCTACAAAAATCTTAGTCACCTTCATTGGAAAGTAAAGAAGTATTTTCAAAAACGTTGCATAATATTTCATCAAATGTATCATAGGAAATTACAAAAAACTGCATGTTGCCTCAAGGCAACATTGTACCGTAATGGAATCGCATAAGGCCATGCAGGCATACTAGGTTAGGATACAAGTATATGATATTTGTAAGGAAAAGAGTTAGAATTATCTAAATGTATTAGAATTTTTACATGATTTTGTAATGCATTTGCAAGAATATTAATTCTCATACTATTTCTACACATATTATGAATTTTTCTGTTGAGAGGAATTGCTTCCTCAGCTTTCACAAGCAATGAGGTGTCATTAGTGAAGTAGGAGATTTTGCATGCACGTGCTTGTGTGTGTATGTGCATGCTTGTAAAGATAAAGTGCATATTAGTATAAGGTTATGATGATTTTTCATTTTTTACTTTGAAACAACACTGATTATAATGTGTTGGTATGATAACGGATATGATAGTTTAGTTATACTTGTTATCCACGATGGTACAATGTGCTTGAGAGCAACAGCTGGATATGAAATGTTACTTTTTATTAAATATCAGTTGTGCAATACATTAAAAACTAGATAAATCTGTTTGTTCAAGTGTTTGGTTAAAGAAATTTATGTTTTCAATAAATATATTTCTTTTTTCTGCATGAAAATGTCAAATGTTTAAATTTGTCCGTTGTGGTACAATGTTGCCTTGAGGCAACAAACTTAAAAAAAAAAAAAAAGAAATTGTTTATTGTTATAGTGTCCAATTTTAAGTAGGAAAAACATCACACATATTTTTTTTCCTCATTGATATCATATTCCGTACCGTGGAGGGTTAACAGACTGTGCTTAATATCTTCAGACACTTTATTTTGATGGGTCCACAACATACTGACTATAAGATACTTTGCAAGTATATGTCAACTTATTCTACTAACCCTAAACTTAACCTAACAGTCTACTCTGAGAGTTAGTAGACATGTAGTTGAAAATAAATGAGAATTAGATGACATGCAGTTGTAAAGTTACTTATAGTTAGTAGAATGTCTAAAGTGGATTATCAAAATAAAGTGTAACCAAATTTGCGAATTTTACACTACAGTTCCAAAGTTATTTCTTTAATGTCACAGAGCTGATTGTTGGTAAGAACTAAAGCAATTTCAGATTAAATATTTGTTATAGTCGAGCCCCACTGTCACTGCATGATTTGTAAGATTTGACGTCCTCCGTAACAATTGAGATGGACAGTCTCTATTGAACCTTCGCTCGTGAGCGACAGCTCTACTCCAGAGCGTGTGATCTGTCCCTCAAGTGATAGATTGGGACAGTCTCTCTCTTGTTATGTGGGTTCATGTCTGTTTTTGTGCTTAAAAATGTCATTATTTGACAAGGCCTCTAATGTGGGTCTCTTTTCATCCTGTGCAGTTCTTTCAAAGGCAGTAATGGGCTCTTTTCTTGAGTTTTGCCGGCCAGCATTAGCCGATCTCTTTGATGCTCTTTCAGTCAATCTCTGGTCTCTCCCTCTCTCTAATTGTCAGACGGTAATTGGTCGATGGGAGTTGGTGCGTGTCGGCGCTGCGCGGCTCGTCACTTGAGCAGTCAAGTCAAACGAAACTCTGACAATATCAGATCTCACTAATGAGCTGAGTGTTGAGATTGGGCTAATTATGAACTATGATGTCTAAAACAGCTTTGCAAAGTAATGAGTCTGCTGTCAGTTCTTTATGGAAGAAGTTGGAGCTGTCTGACTTTTCTTTTTATTGCTTTTATTACTTTTTAATGTGTTTCTATCAGATATAGGCCTATTTTTTTGCAATATAATACCAATGGCAACAAATACACTAGGGATGTAACGATTCACTCAACTCGCAATTCGATTCGATTTACGATTTTGCTTTCGCGATTCGATTCACGATTTTTTTTACAAAATGAGATTTAAGACAAATTATAAATTAAATGTGTCCTTTTATTATTGCGTGGACAAAATGCTGCACGTTTCTTTGTGAAATTGTAATTGTTGAGATTGGGCTAATTATGATCTATGATGTTGTCTAAACAGTTTTGCAAAGTAATGAGTCTGCTGTCATTTCTTCAAGTTCTTTATGGAAGAAGTTGGGGCTGTCTGGTTCTTTCCAAAAAACCTCCTCTTCTTTTTATTGCTTACTTTTTAATGTGTTTCTATCAGATATAGGCCTATTTTTTTGCAATATAATACCAATGGCAACAAATACACTAGGGATGTAACGATTCACTCAACTCGCAATTCGATTCGATTTACAATTTTGCTTTCACGATTCGATTCTAATATAACACTAATATAGCACTTGCATATTATTGCCCTTTTGTTGGTTTTGATTGCTTCTATTGTCCTCATTTGTAAGTCGCTTTGGATAAAAGCGTCTGCTAAATAACAAAATTGAAATATAATGTAAATGTAAATAACAAAACTAACTTGAAATTTTAAAACAAGCCTCAAATCAAATAAATAACACAAATAAAAAATATCTCTTCATATAAACAAAATAAGGCTTTGTCTGTGCTCTTTCCATTTAAAATGAGATTTAATTAAGATTAGATTAGCAACCACTGCATTTTAATCGTGATCCAAACAAAGATGCTGCAAATATGCAACATGAGCAGTTTTTAAATCTAAATTTAAAATCTAAATTTCGAAATTTGAAGCAAAAACAGAATGGTTTGACTTCAGCTTTGTGAAACTATACACCAAAAATATCTGCATGAAACAAACAGTAGACGAGCTGAATGAGACGCAGATTCACTCTCTGCCAGCAGGTGGCGGTTTCCTTGGTTTCCGCTGTAAACAAAGCAGCGCTGCACTTATGAACTTTAATATGCATTATACAGAGGCCAGATGAAAAGAAAAAATACCATCTAAACTAGGGATGCAACGATTATAGATTTCGTTGGTACGATTATTGTCTGAGAAATAATCACGATTATGACGATTATGCATTTATTCATTTCACAAAATTATTAATGTATCAAATCACATGGACACTCTTTAGATAATAAAGTGTTATTTATTGCTGCCTTTAGAAACAGAAATAACACAGTAACCAATAATACAGCACAAAATAATAATAATAAAGACAAACAAATGTCTATCTCTCCAATTGGAATTAAAAAGGTGACCTCTGATTTGTAAACATCCATGTCCGTATTACCCTTTTGAAAATAACTAATGAAAATGGATCACAAAAGTATTTAGTGTTTTCAGTTTGTACATTTTTTACGTTTCTTTTGGACCTGAGGCAGAAAACTGGAAACATGGTGAAAAAAAAAAATCTTGTTGTTTTTGACTTATGCATAATACTATAAAAGGAATAATATAATGTTAATAAGTATTATTGATATAGGACTATTAACTTTATTTATCCCACAGGGGAAACTATTAATAATGAGGGGAATAAACTGAACTATCATTGTAATCAACTGTCATCCATACATATTCATTTTAATAATTTTATAATAATTCATATGATTTTACATGTGGCCTGAGAAAATCATGTCTATTATTTTGGTTTGTGAGATCGGAGATCATTTAGGAGGACAAAAACATGTTGTGAACGCTGGCCCTTGACTTTTATTAATAAAATAGCCTAGATACTGAATCGCTACATTATATCCATCAGCAACGAGGGGGTAAAATCGCTGTTAAACTCACAGCTTCATTGTTTGTAGAGAGACGCGCAGACGCAGGCCAATCATCCTGATTAATTCAATTAACTGTGACGTTTTAAAGCGCAGTTAATCGTGAAACCGGTTTATCGCTGCATCCCTACTCATAGGTGAAAGCTCACCTTAAAAGTATGTCTGTCTGTCTGTCTGTTTGTCTGTCTGTCTATCTATCTATCTATCTATCTATCTATCTATCTGTCTATCTATCTGTCTATCTGTCTATCTATCTATCGACTTCAGGGAAACCATATGAAAAAAGCTAAGTGAGCTTCAGGGGGAAAAAATGCTACTCAAGTGTAAAATATGTCCACTTCAATGCATCATGCTTCAGTCTAACATCACTGAGATTCTTTGCTGGTTAATTTCAGCTTGTGCAGTCATCATCATAAAAACTGTCAGCGGACTGAGCAGATGACCCCACCGGGAGTGATGATTGAATATGTAGTTTTGAGTGCGTTTATGTGCATGGAATTTGATGTTTTATGCACTGCTTGCTTGTAGTTGAGAGACATAGATAATAAAGTGTTATTTATTGCTGCCTTTAGAAACAGAAATAACACAGTAACCAATAATACAGCACAAAATAATAATAATAATAAAGACAAACAAATGTCTATCTCTCCAATTGGAATTAAAAAGGTGACCTCTGCTCTGTAAACATCCATGTCAGTATTTCCCTTTTGAAAATAATGAAAATGGATCACAAAAGTATTTAGTGTTTTCAGTTTGTACATTTTTTACGTTTCTTTTGGGCCTGAGGCAGAAAACTGGAAACATGGTGAAAAAAAAAAATCTTGTTGTTTTTGACTTATGCATAATACTATAAAAGGAATAATATAATGTTAATAAGTATTATTGA